CTCGCCGTGGCGGCGTCAAGCGTATCTCTGGTCTAATCTACGAGGAAACCCGTGGTGTTCTGAAGGTTTTCTTGGAGAACGTCATCCGTGATGCCGTCACTTACACCGAGCACGCCAAGAGGAAGACCGTGACCGCCATGGATGTGGTGTATGCCCTGAAGAGGCAGGGCCGCACTCTTTACGGCTTCGGCGGTTAAATTCGAACACATTCCTTAAAAACAACGGCTCTTTTAAGAGCCACCCACATCTCTTTAAGATGATTACTGCTGTTTATGCTGTGGTTATAAAAATGCCTTTAGATGTTAAACGCTATTTGACGTTTTACCATGGGTTAGAATATCCCTTTGTTGTTACTTTGTTGTGTTAAAGCAGCACCTGGACAGTAGGGAAAAAAAGTGATCATGCAAATGTGGACCTTAGAAACATGCATACAAATAATTTAGGCGCTAAACAAATGCTGTGAACTTGCTATAAAGCTGGATTAAATGTTTTCTTTTGTTTTCCTGAGGAGGAATGTCACAAAAGGTTACATGTGTTCATTAGTGACAGTCTTTGAAGCGTGGTGTGTATGGAGGACCAGTCCTGCCACAATTAACAATACATAAATAAAAATGAAATGCCTAAAAATTAGAGATTCATTTAAAAGGCTATAAATCACTTGATATAGTTATGCATCTTTTTGTTAAGCCCTTTTATCTCCACACTTTTATCCTTGCTATTTAAACAATAGTCAGACTTCTTTGTAACTGTCCTGTATTTTTCCTTTACTTACTTTGAAGTAAATGTGCTATTTTGTGCTATTTTAGTTCTTGTTCATTTCACCATTGTAAGCTGTGTCACTACCCGATCGGTCCTGCGCATGCGTTAACAGAATAACTTCGGGGTAGGCAATACTTTGTTGTCTTACTTTTCTATTCTTTTGTCATTTTCCGGCAGGAGGTTACTTAAGAATATATTTTTATTTGGGTAAATATTGCGTATTCTAAAATAGAAAAAAAAGCAATACACTTGAATAGCCTTTCGAACCTTCCTGTAACTGCGCTGAGCATTTCTGATGATGACATCATCCAATACAATGGAGAGAATGTAAAACGTATCAATTTTTTCCAGAAAAAGCCTTCAATATTGTCTGTATAATGTAGTTTTGCATTCTTTAATGTTTTAAGTATATAAATAAGTATTTTCAGTAACTTTATTACATAGTTTTTCGGCGATCTGGATCTTACTATTCTGTTCACGCACAATTAAGGCGGATCGTGCTGTCGGTAATTGAGTATTAAATAAGAAGAATTAAGATTAAGTAGTGACAAACGCTTCTTTCACTATTGTAAGCTGTATGCAACGGAATTTCGTTTTCTATACAGTGTGCATACAAAATGTCAAAGTTTGTCTAAGTCTAATGAACATAGAAGTGCTACAGCTTTGGCAGTGGAGTTGGATAAGTACAGTGAGTCAATTTACTTAATTGAGTAGTAGGGCTACATCCTTCCCATAAATGATAAATTCTCATTTAAGTACAGATTTTTGTTTATTTTTAATTGTGGCAGGATTGGTCCTCCATACCCTATGCTCAAGTTTATATATATATATATATATATATATATATATATATATATATATATATATATATATATATACATAAATATAGTCCACTGCATTTATACTTTTACTCCTTCCTTAGATTATTAGATTTTGTTGAGTCAAAACTTGAATGAAAATTGAACCAATGCACATGCATTAATCCATTGAAAGAAGTTAACTTTTTATTACTGTACCATATTCTCAAGTAACCACAAAAGGGGCGAAAGAGTTGGAAGGCAACCAGACTTTCTCTCAGTTGTTGAAGACTTTTCAACACCTATCAAGGAGTCTTTGTCATATCTGTAGGCTTGCACCAGACTTTGAGCTCTGATATATTTTAGCAGCTTGGAGATCCATTTCAACTCGTCTGGATTGTTGGAGCTTTTCGTTGTGCATGGGCTGTTTTTGAATATTTTCATTACTTGATGACAAAGGCAGGGGTCTTATAGATAATCAAATATAAAAAATAAAACATGAAATGCTCATACAACTCAAAACGTTTCTTACTGTGGTGCTACAACATACAAGCATTACAATTCTCAACCCACCCCCTCTCTCTCACACGGATAATTGCCCTTCCCCCACACCCAGAAACACCGAGCGTCTCAACTGAGCGCCATCAGCGGTTCATTTAAACCAATCAGAGACAGGATACAGCACAGACTCTTTTACATGCAGACTATAAATACCACTGGTCTCTTTGAATTTTCACTCATTCGTTGCTGTTTCCAGGAACGCATCAGGATGCCTGAACCCGCAAAGTCTGCGCCCAAGAAGGGCTCAAAGAAAGCCGTGACCAAGACCGCCGGC